CCCCTTCCGACAAAATCACCGCATTTGGTCCACTTGATCCCGGAAAGCCCACTTTGCTCCGTTTTCTCTTCATTTCTTAGCCTTTTCCACTGACCTAGAACCCTCCGCGACTATTGCATGCACGTTAACGTGGAAGCTAGAAAATCCACGATGTGGAAGCTGCTAAGCTCCTTTCTCCATGGATCTGTCTAATTCAGACGCTGTAGGGTGAGTAAGCGGACCACCGCGGAGCGCGTGCCTGGCGAGCAGCCGGACCGACGTCGCTGGCCCGAGAGCGGACCGTCGCGCCCGACGGCCGGGCGCTGGAAGCTCGGCCCCTCGTTACGACGGAGTCGGCACGACCCACAGGGGCGCAGTCAACGGGGCGTGACAGGTGGGTGGTCAGGTGGCGGGGTAGGCGGGCGAGAGCGGGCGCAGGGGCCACTCGCCCTCTCCTCCGCGAAGGCTCCCCTGCTGGCTTGCGCCGCTGGTGCCACCGTGCCTGCATTGAAGAGTCTCATACCATAGCAAGCGACTCAAGTTTGTTTCCCTGTTTAGGCCGAGGGATGTTCCGAAGTGCCTCAGCGAGGAAGCTAGTGGCCTTCCTCGCCTTGGTGAACGGATGTTCTTATCGGTCCTCACTTACCATGGAAACAGTTCCAGCCAGAGTGAGTGAATGGACAGAAACGCATCGGTAACAGAATCATACCCCTGGCGGAGAGAACCTAACTGAATAAAAAAACTATTTGTTTAAATTGAAAAACAGCGTAAACCGCTGTTGTATTTAACAAGCGCCCGGGTGGCGGTTGGTTCCCTTTGCTCGGGTGGAAAATCAATTTGATCTCCTCCCTTGAGATCTTAGAAACTAGAGGAGATAGAGCACCAAATCCCACCGTGTGTTGGCCTGAACGTAAACTCACTTAGTCCAAAGTTTGAGATTCCTTGGCCATGACCTTTGCGTAAGATAAGGTCAAACTACAAGCTGGTCTCCAAAGTGCCCCCCCCCCCCCCCCCCAGAGTCCAGATAATTGTTCTGAGCAAAAGGTCAAATTCTCATTTAAGGTCAGTGGTCTTGTTTGATCTTGAAGGTCGGTAGTGACCAAAATCACACCAGAATACTTTAAGATTTTCATTTGAATAAGCAACCAAGATTACGCTAGGCAGAATGTTCCCAAAACCACAATGCTGACCTGGGTCATTTTAGGTCATTGACCTATTGCCACCTTTGGCAAGTCCATGTTAGATGTATGATGGCGGTTCCTGTTATCAATAAATTCGAAATTAGCACCAGAAACTATCCCATACAGCACGCGCAAGAGTAATACAGCAGGTTGTTTCGACCTTGGTCCGACCATTCATACCTGGTCCTAGGTCGATGGAATTTGTTTATGCAATTGTTGTGTTGCCTAAAAAACCATCCCAGAAATGTATGGTTTCGTCCAATACTCCGCTGTTGCAAAGATTGAACGGTCCCCTCGAAATCGTCTTTGCTGCATCCATGGCCTGACTTTGACCCGCCGTAGGAAAACTCATGGAAATGCAGGAAAATAAATTCAGGAAGAAGTCAGTAAAAACCTTCGGGGTTCACGTGGACCCGACTTGACCCCCACCCGAGCGCGTGTTAAACAATCACGTGTTAATCTTAAGTACGCTTCGTTTTTTTATATCTGAGTTCAAACCTACTCTAATGTATTTATGGTACCACACTACGATGCAGCAGAAGTGCTTTCAAAAATAACAATAGTCCATATAGCCGACAGATTGTGCACAGCAATCGCAGACAATAAACGTGCAGTGTTCTCTATGTATTGTTGTGATATTTGCCTACACAAGACAAGCAAGTTTTAACAAATACTCTGAAAAGAAACGGTTTTGTCCGATGGCCCACAGTGTCTGTACACACATGTACAAAGGCACCTTCCGACGTATGCGTCGCCTTTGTTTGCGAAATAGGCTGCACTGGACCAGTGCTAAGGGGCTATGGCTTCATTCACACGCAGTGGAAGCCAGCATGCTGGTGAGCCGTCATACTTAGCATCACACCACATTTTGTTGTATTGCATGGGAAAATAACCGACTCGACTGGAGTGTAACGGCCCAGGGGTGTTGTGCACGGACGCGTGGGACCGCTGATGGTACTTCCCCAGGGCTGCCGGTGGAGCAAGAAGACAACTTGGTGCCGCAAGAAGAGGACTTGTGCGGCGGGGGTCAGAGGCAGCTGCAGCAAAAGCCCACTGACCCCACACTCGACGTGGCCGTCCCACAGCTCGCACCACGTGATGGTAATAACGGATGACTCGCTGTCTGCGTCCACCGATCTTCACCAGGAGAGGGACATCAGGCAGTTTTCGATGCCGTATAAAAACCAGCTGTCTCATGTTTATGGCTATTAGTTATGGTTAGGCCCTCTTGTGCCGTTCCCAATAATTTCTGCCATCTTTACCTGGTTTCAGCTTCATCCTCCCCTGGTGCGAGCTATTTCCACTTGTTCATTATTTCCACTTCACAAACGAGTTATTGCTGGCTGTCACTCGGCCCCAAATTAAAGCCGGGGACCATTGAACAAGAACTGCAGTCAGTGGCTTGGTATTCGGTCAACACGAAGCTCAGTTCATCAGATAGTCAACGATGTCCAGTGGTGGGGGTTGGCGACCTGTTGACGAATCTCGGATGGACCCTCCCTCAAAGCCAGGCCAAACCATTAGCATAAAATCTTCCCGGACATCAGAACAGCAACATATCATACCGTTGCATCATCTCTGAACAGCTTCAAAGCAGGGAAATTGACCTAAAGGGTGCTTCATGTACAGGCAAAATCTTGATATCGCAGCCGTGCATGAATTAAATCATGTGCTTTGTTGTCCTTCGCCATCTGTCCTCCTCCCCTGGTCAGAGAGTGGTGATCACGCTACACAGGAACACGCCGCATGTCAACCCTGCTGAGACATTCTATTTCAGTTAATTTTAAAACCAAACCTGACATGAATGTAATGTAGTGTTGTCCGAATCGTCCCTCCGCCCTTGTAAAGCGTCGGTTACGCTCAATCAAAACACCCGCTCTCCTTCGTGTGGTAACGGTCCTCCTGGGTGACCCCTAAACCACTAACTTCGCTTGATCCAGGAAGGGCGCTGTTCGAGAACGCCATCTGCATTCCCGTTTCTCATGATTAATCGCTAACTTCGTGTCCAAAATCGTCATTTACTAACAGTGAAACCACAACGAAACACTCGTTATAAAAATATCCGGTGTCATAAAAATGTCAGAAATGGTGTCATAGCGACATGACCAAACGAGATCTGGTATCAGAATTCGTTTTAATAAGCATGAGTAATGATCCGGCATACGTCCGATTTCGGTGCTACCACTGGTCGTTCTTTTGTGGCCTCTGATATCAGAAATGGAAGGCGCCTGGCTTTTCCTTACCCTCGCAAGTCAGGATTAGTTCGTTATTACTTTACTTAGCGCTGATAGAAAAAAAACAAAGAAAGGCAACCACTGTACTACGAGTGAAATTGACGCACACACATGCAACAATATCCTTCCAGAGGACAAGACCAGTGACGTGGAACAGATGGACGACCTGATCCGATCACGATTGTGAGTACGCGGCCAATCCCGACCTGATCCGATCACGATTGTGAGTACGCGGGCCATCCCGACCTGATCCGATCACGATTGGTGAGTACGCGGCCATCCGACCTGATCCGATCACGATTGTGAGTAACGCGGCCATCCCGACCTGATCCGATCACGATTGTGAGTACGCGGCCATCCCGACCTGATCCGATCGCGATTGTGAGTACGCGGCCATCCCGACCTGATCCGATCACGATCGTGAGTACGCGGCCATCCCGACCTGATCCGATCGCGATTGTGAGTACGCGGCCATCCGACCTGATCCGATCACGATCGTGAGTACGCGGCCATCCCGACCTGATCCGATCGCGATTGTGAGTACGCGGCCATCCCGATTGCGCCGTCACGGCCGGTGACGTCGCAGACATGACCGCACCTTCAGCTGGCCACATGGGAGCGCAGTCTGGCCCATGTCATGATTTAGATCAATGGTCATTCCGGTCTGACCTCGCTCGTTGCCCATGGCGGGTGGCGTGCATACTGCACGTGTGCACACACGTGCAAGGCCGACCGCAAACCTGGTAGCGGTCCGTCACGACATGGCTTTCGGCCGCCTGAACGCTGGCCGACGCCGTCACCCTACGCTGACCCAACGTGTGCCGCAGGGTGAAGACAACCAGCTGGCGCGTGTTCACCATAGGGCAGCGTCTGGGACACGTCAACAAATCGCCGCAGCTCGGCCGGAGGGGCGCGCTGAACGTTCGAGCTGCTGGCGGCCGTGCGCACCGGCGCTCAACACCTCAACCAGGCCAGTGGCGGGCGCCAGCTACACGGCCCAGCACTTCCTCGACGGCCGGTACAAGCAGGTGCTGGGCGCCGGCGAAGTGGTACGTGCTGCATTTCGCCAGCGAGGCGCGGCCGGGCCGCGTGGAAACGGTGCGACTGGTGCGCCGTGCGGTCCGCTGCTCGTCGATGCGCAGCCCGGCTACGACCACGACCAGCTGGTGTATGTGGTCGTGCCTTACTACCGGCGGCCGGACGCGTTCGCCGAGTTCGCCGCCATGTTCGAGCAGCTCGTGGTCGCGCACCACGAGAACCTGCGGCTAGTCGTCATGTTCTACTGGCGCGGCCAGCCGGCGGCACCACGTGAGCAGCTGGCTCGCGAGCGGCGCCGCGTGGCCGACACGCTGCACCGACTGAACAAGCGCGCCCGCCGTCCGGTGGCGCGTCTGGTAGACCAGGAGGCCGAATTCTCGCGCGGCCACGCCCTGCTGCAAGGCGCACGCTCTTGGAAGGGTCACGACGACGTGCTGCTCTTCTTCTGCGACGTCGACATGTTCTTCGACACGCAGGCACTGCACCGGTGCCGCGCCAACACCGCCCCTGGCCGGCGCGTCTACTACCCGGTTGTGTTCAGCACATTCAGTCCGGAGCTCTACTTCCGCGCCTGGCGCAAGAAGCCAACCTCGCTCTGGCAGATGCAACCCAATAAGTGGCGACGTGGGTTTTTGGCGGGACTTCGGCTTCGGCATGACGTGTCAGTACAAGTCGGACTTTGACCGTGTGGCTGGCGAGTTCTTGGTGTCGGGAAGCTGGGGTGGCGAGGACGTCGTACTGTACAAGAAGTACAATCAGACGGAGCTGGAGATTGTTCGCGCGCCCGACCCAGGTCTCGTGCATATCTACCACCGCAAGCAGTGCGACCGCACTTGCTGGGCAAGAAGTACCACTCGTGTATGGGCTCCCTGAGGCACAGTGAGGCGTCGATGAAGACCTGGGCCCGCTTCGTGCAGCAGCTGAAGGCGGCGGCGGACGATTCGACGGCCGTGCACGACATGCTGGCGCTGGCGCTGGGGCCGGTCGGCGAGCTGGACGACGACGAAGAGGCGACCACGACCAAGACGAGCGTCATCTCGCCCGCCGACGCGCCGGTAACGTCCGGCCGAGGCGGCTGAGAGTGCGGCCGCACTGCAGGACTGGTGCCGCCAACTGCGCTCACGGCCACAGCGCGGGTCGCTGCCGTGGATAACGCCTGAGCCGGCTGAGCTTTTGTGCGTGTATGGTCGTGGACGTGTCGTCGAATGTATTGCGGCTGTACGAATGCTGTTTTGCGAAATAAATCCTTGGTCCCTGTCCACTGACTGCAGATCCAGAGCGAGGATGGCGTCACAGTGGGCCTGCTGACGCGTCAGCCGATCAGCCACGAATGGGTTGAACACTTAATATGTCACCTCCCGGCTCATATTTATTCACAGATCGTATTCACACCGGCTCGAAAGGAGGTGTTCCCAGGCTAGCTGTACCGGTACTCAAATGTGCAGGTCTTGCCACTGCCAGTGAGACCACAGACAACGTCCTGCCGCCGACCTGCCCAGAACGCTCCCCCAGCCGCCACGACGGCGTCACACAACGCCACACGCACCACGCGGCCCATGGACGCGCCGCGTTGTCTCGAGCCTGGCGGCCGGTCCCATCAGCGTGCAATATTGATGGGCCGACGGCGGTGGCTGACCAGGCTCCCACAGCCCGCTCAATGCGTCGCGACTGATGCACGGCGGCACGGCCTCAGCGGGCTCGTGAACGGCCGCGGGCCTTGGCGCCCTTGGTGGCACCCTTCTGCGCGCCGCGTACAATGTTCTTGTACTGGCCCTCGAACTTGGCCTTCTTCCTGTGGGCAGCGGAACAGGGAGAGGCATATGGTCAGTTGAGCGCCGCGTGGACTGAAGGTGCCGCCCGTCAGCTGAAGGGTCGGCTGCAAGCAGCCTACACCGCCCGCAACAGCAAGCCGATGGGCGACCCTAGCCGGGAGGCCCGATACGGTCTGAAGTGGCCCGTCTGCAATACAAACTCGGAGCAGCATTGCGGCAATGTCCACCAGGTGACCATGGGCGCTGATACAGGTGCACGTATATGATAAGATACACCGTGCGACCAGCAGAGAGCGAGGGAGAAAAGAGAGGGGAGAGAGAGAAGCGATCTGAGAGAGCGAGTGAGAGAGAGTCGAACCGAGAAGAGAGAAGAGGAGAGAGGGGGAGAGAGAGAGAGAGAGAGAGAGAGAGAGAGAGAGAGAGAGAGAGAGAGAGAGAGAGAGAGAGAGAGAGAGAGGAGAGAGAGAGAGAGAGAGAGAGAGAGAGAGAGAGAGAGAGAGTAGAGAGAGAGAGAGAGAGAGAAGAAGAAGAGAGAGAGAGAGAGATGAAGAGAGAGAGAGAGAAGAGAGAGAGAGAGAGAGAGAGAAGAAGAGAGAGAGAGAGAGAGAGAGGAGAGGAGAGAGAGAGAGAGAGAGAGAGAGAGAGAGAGGAGAGAGAGAGAGAGGAGAGAGAGAGAGAGAGAGAGCGAGAAGCGTAAGAGAGAGAGAGAGAGAAGAGCGAGAGAGAGGAGAGAGAGAGAGTAGAGAGAGAGAGAGAGAGAGAGAGACTGAGAGCGAGAGAGAGAGAGAGAGAGAGAGGAGAGAGAAGGAGAGAGAGAGAGAGAGAGAGAGAGAGACTGACATTACCAGCAGTGCAAAGCAACCGTCATTTCCTTCCATATCTCAGTAAACTTGAACAGGACGTCACAGCTTGTAAGTAAGCGCACCAGCACCAGTGACACATCTACTGCCACGGCAGTCTGGCTGCCGTGGCAGTAGTGATCTAAGTGATTTATTAAGTTTATTATTAAATCACTTTGAAGTGATTTAAGTAGTGATTTTAAATCACTTTGAAGTGATTTAAGCGGCTCTCGACCGAGCCTTATCGTGTGACGACGGTGTACCATCACCTGAAAATGATGACTGTGGCCATCGCTACCTAACTTCACACGCGGGTCCTCACGTCGTGATGAGCAAAAAGCAGGTGGCGAACCGAGGAGAAACTCACGTAAACCGTCCCGAAACCTTGCGGTTACCACTTCATCACGCGCAAATTATCCAAGGGCAGCCCAAACGAGGCCGGCCTGCCGTCTGGGCAGTAGGGGCAGCTGCGAGGTGGAGTGAGGTCCACAGTGCGACATGTAGCCGGCCGAGCGCCATCCCCGGCTAAACGGACGGCCCGCCGCCTCCGGCCGCCAGCCGTGCACTGCACGTCAACGGGTTAGTGGGTCAGGCGCGGCCGCGTGGCGTGCCCGTGCGGCCCGGCCACGCACGGGGAAAGCGAGCCGCCCGGGCTGCCACCGGCGCCAGTCAGCACGAACCGCCGCCCGCTGCCCCAGCGGACGCTGCGGCCAACGGGACATGCACTGGCGCCGACGCCCGGGGCTGGATAGTGTCCGGTCCGCCCGCACACCGTCGCCTCAGGCGCCCTGTGAATGTGTCAACGGCCGTGGTGCCACTTGCGTACCACCTTTTAACAGTGGGGTGACTACTTAAAAACATAAAAATCGGCCATCGATTTACGACCGTCACTGTCTGTTGTTGAGAGTTCAGTGATGTCTGGCAATCTGTATACGTGTTTGTGGTCACATATGTGTTGATAGCTGTGGAGACACTCCCTTGGGGCGCAGCTGGTTGTACAGCGAGGCATAATTGGTCCTCGTCAGCCTGATGAAAGTCCTTTCGAGCCCACGCACTAGTCATTGAGGTTCGTTGGATGAATCACAGATGACCTTCACGAGCGTCGGCATTAATTTTAAAATTACAAAAAACATCCGCATAACCGGGCATAAACAGCGCGAGCTGTTACAGGTCAGTCGGCACCGACCGCGCAGTTCTGTTGTCTCGAAATGTTGTGTAAACCTGGCCAACTGTACGGCTCCAACGTCTTTTGTTATCCAATGACACAAAACGCATCTCTGAAACGTTGTAACTTCATGAATGCGCATCCGTGCCGTGAATGGCGACTCTGGGAAAGCCACAACACGAACACACAAAATGAAATGTGCAATACCGAGGATAGGAAGGGCTGAAAAACACTAATATGGGCCAAACTATGCTTTAATATGGAACCGATTCTGCCTAAAGCGTACGTTAAAACACACATATACACACGCAAGCACGCACGCATGCATGCAGCATGCACGCACACACGCACTGTTGACCGCTGGACTTGCAAATACAAGACCCGGTTGGAATTCCAGGGATTCAAAGGAGACCCTTCGGGGTGTGGCACATAATTTGACGAGAGCCAAACACCATCGAATGCTTCTCAGGGCTTAGCAACACCTACCGACGACTGGGGATTCCATTGGCCGAAACGTTGTGTTATGCGTTGCAATACGTATGTGGAGTTAACAAACTTCAATATAACAGCAGGTCATAATTAAACGATGTCATAACGGTAAAGTAACGACTGTGCTGACGGAAGCAACAACGCCCATCTGTGCTAGCGGCGCGGCGACACTGGACGTTCCGTTAGCGGAGAGGCCACCGCCGCGGAACAGCCGCGACGGAACACTGCTCGCAGAGCGCAGGGTGACTTCGCTATCAGGTGGCTTAGTTTGCAAGAGAAAACTAAGCCACGAAAATGGGTTGTTAACACCGCGGCTGGACCAGGAAGCGCGCAGCAACACACGTGCAGGGAGCGCTAAACGGCCGTGAAACGCGTGGTATCAGCTTGTGCCGAAGAACGGGCGCTCAGAGCGGCCTCCAGACTCGTATCGGTCAACAATGGCCCACTTGTCTTTCAGCAGCGCATAGATTAGCGTGTCCGTGGGGGGTGCATGCGCAAACACAGGCCAGATAACGGGGCTTGTGCGTGCACACTGTGCACTGTGGCCGTGCTAGGGGCTGGTGAACGCTCAACAACGCATGGCGCTGCCCAATCGCTCGGCGTGCGCGCGAACACCGCCGACCACGTGCCATCCGATGGGAACGCGTGAGGGCTTGCGCCACGCTGCCCTATCCACGGAAGGTCCGCCACCACCAGCTTGGAAGAGTCGGATCTCAAGAGGTACACGGGGTAGCGCTACGTTACAGGGAGTGTTTTACATTTACATGGGATTTTGAACTGAAATAGCCATCTTGAAGACTTTTCGGTGCTGTTCACCATCCTGCCCTCCTAAGACCTAAGCCGCTCTAGTTTCTGAGCTACACGCCCGCGAAAATGGCAAAAGGTATGTCGGGGAGACTATTCAATGCCACCCTGTTACTCATGACGCGATAATAACGTCATTCAAACCCTGCCAATCCACAAGCCGAGTGGCGATTAATGCCAAGAACAATTTAATTGTCGAGGCGTTCATATCTGGCGTTCGTGAGCGCAATTTTCAGATACAACGGCCGTCAATTGACCCGCAATCAACGTTGTGCAAGGGACGATGACGCTATTATACTATAACACGCCGACGAGCATACTCATTCAACAAAGAATCGAGCCGTTTAGAGCAATCTTGTGTGTGTGATTGGGGCTTTACGACGCACTCAGCGACTGAGGCTATGTGGCGTCGCCTGCCTCTCACCCTGGCAGGAAGGGCGGGCACCGCGGGGAATCGAACCCCGTACCTCTGGTTTCCCAGACGCACAGAAGGCAACGCAGACGCGCTAACTACTACACTACCGACACCCTTAGAGCAATCTTGTCCCCTTAAAACCATAGTTACCCGTAGTTCTAAAGCGACTCCTCTCTCTCTCTCTCTCTCTCTCTCTCTCTCTCTCTCTCTCTCTCTCTCTCTCTCTCTCTCTCTCTCTCTCTCTCTCTCTCTCTCTCTCTCTCTCTCTCTCCTCTCTCTCTCTCTCTCTCTCTCTCTCTCTCTCTCTCTCTCTCTCTCTCTCTCTCTCTCTCTCTCTCTCTCTTTCCCGAGCGCACTTGTCCCTTTCAGCCGTGCATGACATTCTTGGCGATCTCTTGTGTCGGTCAACTGCGTGACAGTGCTCCGATGGCCCACTTCTGAGTGCAGTGCCTCCTGCCCCCCTTCTCCCGCCATGCACGCGGCCCGCGCCTCCCACGAAACAAAAACACAGCGCGCCGGCGGCGGTGTGAGAGCCTGCCGACCGCCGCGCGGCTGGCATGACGAGCACAGCGGCTGCCGACGCACTGCACGTGACGCCCCTCGGCGTGTCCCGGGGAGCGTTCACGTCCAACAGCACGTGGGGACGCGCTCCAGCGCATGCAGCGCGTAACGCAAGGGCGCTATCCCCAGGCCAATTTTCGCACCATGGGTGCCTACTCCGGACCACAAATGAAAGACACGATCGGGATCTGCACGCGGTGGATGTTCGCCAGGAACGGTATCGCAAACGCGATCAGCCGGCGCGAACCGGTGAAATCCAGACGAACGACTCTGAACAAGGCTGGCGAACGCCAAATCATGCCAATCACGGCTGTCAAAAATGATGCGATTATCACCTCGCAAAAAAACTAGGCGCAGCCCAGACATGAACGGCCGATGGTACGGCCAAATGACGTGGTATGTGCCGCCTGGCCGGGCCCCGGCGCCGTCGGTAGTCCACCGAGCTGGTGACCGACCCGTCTCAGGCTGGACACACGCACGCGGCCATTTGACAGGTCACATGTTGTGTTGTGTGTTACATCTGGAGATGCTTCAATCCCTGTGGCTATGACGGCCTCCCACATCTTATCATAGCTCTACAACAAAATGTCAGCAGCACGTTATGCGCATTGTGCATAACATGAAAAGTTCACGCTCACGCACGGTATGAGCCTAGCCACACGCTCACTTAGCAGAAACAGCCATCTTTTAAGGCTGCCGTTTCTTAACAGTTGGTCACCTTGGCATTGAACACTCGAGGACGATAAATCCGTCACATCCCATGCCAGTGTGTTCCACCTCTTTGTGCTTCGGGAGGATTTGATTGTTTCCTGTTTTCTGGCTGTCCCAATGGCAGCTGCAGCCTATCGTCTTATTTGGTGTTTGGCGCGCGGCTACCAACGTTTCTCGAGAACAAGTCTGCCAAACCCTCGGGACTTTTGTCCTTACCGCGTGGTACGTGACGATGCCTTCATAATACCCCACCAATTATTCGATATCTGCCCGCTTAGTTTCGCCTTAGCCTCACTGCATTTTTTCAGATAAGTAATAACTCGGGTCGCAAAACGTTAGATCTGGTCTAATATTGTTTTGTTATTTTCCCTATGGTAGCTGTTACGCTCAGGCAGTACGACAGGTGTGGTAAGACACGTGACTTTACCTCGTGACAAGTTACCACACGAGCAGCAAGAGTATCAGGCAGAAGACAGTGATGATGCGCAAGATCTGTAAGAAGACCTGTGCGGGCTCTTGTTACCTCGCCTGTATGTCCTGCCACGCTAAATAGCGAACAAAAAGTACGAACGACTTAACATCCTGCATGGAAGTTGTTAAAAAAAACGAATATTTCGGAAAGAGGTGGAACAAGGCGTGCGAATCCCACTTGATGTAGTCTGTCAAGAAAGCCAAGACGGTGATTCCACCCCACGCGATATCGTGGCGGGCCTGCGGGCGGGCGGGCCTTCTCCAACGCGGCCCTCAGGGCGCCGCAGTCCCTCCCATCGAGAGCCGGAGACGTCCCTGCTAATGGCGGGGGTGCTCAGTGCCCTGGGGGCTGTGGAAGTTCCTTGGAAACCCCGCCGCCGTCAGGGCCAGCGGGCCCTGTCCACACGGAAGGTGAGCTAGGATTGCTATCTGATGGATAAGCGCTGCGTGTGAGATCGTAGGGCGAGCGTGGTGAGTCTAGTGGGTAAGCATTGCTAGCCATCTACTTCGAGGCGAGCGTGGTGAGTCTAGTGGGTAAGCATTGCCAGCTATCTACTTCGAGGCGAGCGTGGTGAGTCTAGTGGGTAAGCATTGCTAGCTTTCTACTTCGAGGCGAGCGTGGTGAGTCTAGTGGGTAAGCATTGCCAGCTATCTACTTCGAGGCGAGCGTGGTGAGTCTAGTGGGTAAGCATTGCTAGCCATCTACTTCGAGGCGAGCGTGGTGAGTCTAGTGGGTAAGCATTGCCAGCTATCTACTTCGAGGCGAGCGTGGTGAGTCTAGTGGGTAAGCATTGCTAGCTTTCTACTTCGAGGCGAGCGTGGTGAGTCTAGTGGGTAAGCACTGCCAGCTATCTACTTCGAGGCGAGCGTGGTGAGTCTAGTGCGTAAGCATTGCTAGCCATCTACTTCGAGGCGAGCGTGGTGAGTCTAGTGGGTAAGCATTGCTAGCCATCTACTTCGAGGCGGGCGTGGTGAGTCTAGTGGGTAAGCATTGCCAGCTATCTACTTCGAGGCGAGCGTGGTGAGTCTAGTGGGTAAACATTGCTAGCCATCTACCTCGAGGATGCGTAGTGAGTCTAGTGGGTAAGCATTGCCAGTCATCTTCTTCGAGGCGAGCGTGGTGAGTCTAGTGGGTAAGCATTGCTAGCCATCTACTACGAGGCGAGCGTGGTGAGTCTAGTGGGTAAGCATTGCCAGCCATCTTCTTCGAGGCGAGCGTGGTGAGTCTAGTGGGTAAGCATTGCTAGCCATCTACTTCGACTTGACTAGCGACTAGAACCGCTTGCTGCAACAGCACGGGAACTCCGCGGCTATCAAATATACCGAAGGTAAGTGTTCAGGGCTCCTGATACTGATGATTCTGGCAGAAGCATCAGTGGAAAGAGGATGGCTCCTGACGACAGGAAGGTTATGAGCTGTCGGCCGGCACCTTATGAACAGATCAATGAGCTCAACACTTCCTGTTGCTGTGGGAGAGCTTGTTAATACAACAAACCACCAGGCCATGGGGCAGAGTGTGGGGGGGGGGGGGGGGGACTCCTGGGCCGGTGAGTCAAATCACTGACGCTCAACAAACCACCAGGCCCTGAGGCAGAGTGGGGGGGGGGGACTCCTGGGCCGGTGAGTCAAATCACGGACGCTCAACAAACCACCAGGCCATGGGGCAGAGTGGGGGGGGGGGACTCCTGGGCCGGTGAGTCAAATCACGGACGCTTAGCAGCTCTTCTCGCACAACCGTGGGGAAAGCAAAAGCCGCGAGCATCCAGTCTCAGACTCACAAACCAACAACTCGCAGCCAAATTCTTCCCGAGTGTTATGAGCGGCGGTACAGTACACATTGCCTGGTCACTGCTTAGCGTAGTCATGGTTGCGTCGCTGCACCCACTAAATACCTCGAAGGCCCACAATTTAGCCATGCATATTGAGTTACGACCACATTACTCAATTTAACAAAGTACGACTACATTGCATTGCAATCAATTACAACGAAGAATGCATACAATAACAGCTAACGTTGGCCCTCGTTGGACCACCATGCCCGGCTGGCGTGCTGATACACTTCTGATGCCCCCACACACTGACGCCACCCAGGGGTGGCGTGCTGATACACTTCTGATGCCCAAACACTGACGTCACCCAGGGGTGGCGCCAAGTGGCCAAACGGCAGGGGCATGTGCTCCCCGACGAACTCGAACTTCAATGATCGAATCCGCAGTTGGCAATGTTATGCAGTTGGCGATGTCGCAGTTCGCAGTAACGTTCGTAACGCAGATGGCAATGCGCAAAAGCAATGTATCTAAAATACCCGGTTCTGTTGTCATCTGTTGTAAGCCCATCCCCCCCCCCCCAAAAGGAAAAAATTAGGCCATCGAACGATGGAGCTACGCATTTCTGCGGCCCGCACGATTGGTATCTGATCGTGGGACGAGGCCCATGAGTGCAAGCTATCCCCCTGCAGATGGGTCATTAGCCCTCGGCCCAGCGGCGGCCGTGCTCCTCGGGCCGCTCTGTGCCGGTCCTCGTCCCCGGCAGCCCCGGCAGCCCAGCCCGGCCCGTCACTGACCGTTTGTTGAGCGTGCTCCTCTTGAGCGGCACGTAGGCGTATGGATCGGGCCGGCCGGCACGCTTCACATCGCCACGACCCTTCTTGGAGGCGTACTCGGCGCCGGGCCGGCTGGCCGCCGACCGGCCCGACCGCGACGACTTGGCCGACGCCGTCGACGCGCCGCCCGTCGACCAGCTCGAGCGGCCCGACTTGACCGAGGCGGCGCCGCCGACGCGACGGTGGATGCCGCCACCGCCCGCTGTCGACACAAGCCCAGTTAGAGGCGTCTCACGTTGCAAACGCAAGTGCTGGCGGCGATGGACGGTGGCGTCCGGGTCCGGCGAGCTCTGAGAGCAGCACCAGCCCCGGCTGCCGACGGCGCCGGTGGCAGCGGCCAGAGCCACACTGGCGCGACGCTCAGCCCCCAGCAGCAGCGCTCGCAACACCCTCTGTCCAAAACGCCAGGGCTGAATGTGACCCGGACAGCACACCTACAGCAGGCGCAATAGACGGCCGGGAGCGCAAGACGGCGGTGGGCAAGCCAAGCACGCGCCGGCGGCCGCTTACCAAGGTACTTCGAGGAGGACGGCTCGGAGGCGGAGCCCTGGCTGGAGGCGTCCAGCTTCCTCTTCCGGCGGCCGGCCGTGTTGCGGATGGCCTCCATGAACTGGTCGGGCTCCTCTGCGGACGACACGGCCCGCTGTTGTGACACGGTTCTGGATACCAGCGGCGGACCGGTACGACAGTTGGACAGCAATGCGCCGCTCACACCCCGCGGCCCTAATGTATGGCTATGGTGGCAATAATGCACACTTTGTACAATGAACCGAATCGATTTCCGTCAAAACCTAATGAAGGACACCATAAATGCGACAGACACACTAACAATGGCTACAGTGGTTAGTTATTAAGTAGGGGTGCGTCAGCTGTATTGGTTATTTGCGCCAACGGCTACAGTGGGTAACCAAGGTGATGATTCGTCTCTTGCCTCGGGTATAACATACATGGGGCACCCAACATATATGGGATATAGGCTCTAGCCCACGCTCGTACGGTACAGACTGCAGCTCGGCTGCGCCAACCACGACAGCCCGGCCCAGCGGGCGAGCGGAACCTGTCGTCACCGACGGCAGGCGAAGCGGCGCCGCAAGGCCGCTGCCGGCCAACGGACGACAGTGAGCGGCGGCGGTCGAACGATTCAATAGGCAGCCTCGCTGATGACCCGCACCTCAAGAGGCGCGACCCCGAGCCCTGCGGCGCACGGCAGGCGCCCCTCCCCGCGTGTTCGGTTCGGACCGGTGCGGAGTGGTGCGATGCCCACAAGCTACAGCCAGCGTCTGCCGATGCCCACAAACTACAGCCAGCGTCTGTGGATGCCCTGTATTGGTTATATCGGCATTCATTGGCATATCATCGGCATATCATCGACAGTCTGCCGACGCCGATTGCATTGGCTGCATCAGAGTTCAGAGGCCCCGGCGCAGCCGGCATTCTAAGCCGGGTTCCCCGCGTGCTAATCCGGCGCGCATATCATCCGGTCAGTACACGCCCTTCGTCGTGATGAGCAATAAATGAAATCAAATCGGTTTTCTACGATCAGGATGTGCAGTGAATGTGGGTACCAAACGAAGGTCAAGGTACAAGGCGAGCGGGCATGGTCGGTGGCTCGGGAGACAGCAGACGCGGGGCGTCACAAGGCCAGTGGGCAGGGTCGGTGGCTCGGGAGACAGCAGACGCGGGGCGTCACAAGGCCAGTGGGCAGGGTCGGTGGCTCGGGAGACAGCAGACGCGGGGTGTCACAAGGCCAGTGGGCAGGGTCGGTGGCTCGGGAGACAGCAGACGCGGGGCGGCACAAGGCCATGGGCAGGGTCGGTGCTCGGGAGACAGCAGACGCGGGGTTGTCACAAGGCCGTGGGCAGGTCGGTGGCTCGGGAAAAGACGCGGGGCGTCACAAGGCCAGTGGCAGGGTCCGGTGGCTCGGGAGGCAGCAGACGCGGGGCGTCACAAGGCCAGTGGGCAGGGTCGGTGGCTCGGGAGACAGCAGGACCGCGGGGTTCACAAGGCCAGTGGGCAGGGTCGGTGGCTCGGGAGACAGCAGACGCGGGGCGTCACAAGGCCAGTGGGCAGGGTCGGTGGCTCGGGAGGCAGCAGACGCGGGGTCACAAGGCCAGTGGGCAGGGTCGGTGGCTCGGGAGACAGCAGACGCGGGGCGTCACAAGGCCAGTGGGGCCGGGTCGGTGGCTCGGGAGGCAGCAGACGCGGGGCGTCACAAGGGCCAGTGGGCAGGGTCGGTGGCTCGGGAGACAGCAGACGCGGGGTGTCACAAGGCCAGTGGGCAGGGTCGGTGGCTCGGGAGACAGCAGACGCGGGGCAACACTCAGTTCAGCGATGGGGTTAAGAACAAGGTTGGGTTGGCTAAAAACTCTGTTCCCCCAAACACCACTAGCTCCAGCTCAAAACTCAGCTCCCCCAAACACCACCAGCTCCAGCTCAAAACTCAGCTCCCCTAAACACCACCAGCTCCAGCTAAAAACTCTGTTCCCCCAAACACCACCAGCTCCAGCTCAAAACTCAGCTCCCCTAAACACCACCAGCTCCAGCTCAAAACTCAGCTCCCCTAAACACCACCAGCTCCAGCTCAAAACTCTGCTCCCCTAAACACCACCAGCCCCAGCTCAAAACTCTGCTCCCCCAACACCACCAGCTCCAGCTCAAAACTCTCTGCTCCCCCAAACACCACCAGCCCCAGCTCAAAACTCAGCTCCCCCAAACACCACCAGCCCCAGCTCAAAACTCTGCTCCCCCAAACACCACCAGCCCCAGCTCAAAACTCTTGCTTCCCCCCAACACCCACCAGCCCCAGCTCAAAACTCTGCTCCCCCCAAACACCACCAGCCCCAGCTCAAAACTCTGCTCCCCTAAACACCACCAGCCCCAGCTCAAAACTCAGCTCCCCAAAACACCACCAGCCCCAGCTCAAAACTCTGCTCCCCTAACACCACCCAGCCCCAGCTCAAAACTCTGTTCCCCAAAACACCACCAGCCCCAGCTCAAAACTCTGCTCCCCCAAACACCACCCAACCCCAGCTCAAAACTCTGCTCCCCCAAAACACCACCAAGCTCCAGCTCAAAACTCTGCTCCCCCAAACACCACCAGCTCCAGCTCAAAACTCAGCTCCCCCAAACACCACCAGCCCCAGCTCAAACTCTGCTCCCCCAAACACCACCAGCCCCAGCTCAAAACTCAGCTCCCCCAAACACCACCAGCCCCAGCTCAAAACTCAGCTCCCCCAAACACCACCAACCCCAGCTCCAAACTCTGCTCCCCCAAACACCACCAGCCCCAGCTCAAAACTCTGCTCCCCCAAACACCACCAGCCCCAGCTCAAAACTCTGTTCCCCCAAACACCACCAGCCCCAGCTTGTCCTTTACGTGTTCTGGCTCGGCCGCCATGCGTTCAATGCAACGGCGCGCGTCGTAGCTTACTCCGTACGTCCAAAGGCGAGCTCGCCCTTCATGTATGGGGGCGTTCAGTGATCGGATCGATAGGGCAAACACAGCTGAGTGACCAAGGCATACAGTACATCTGTGTGCCATTCAAATGCTGGCGAAGTATGATGTGTAGCTTGCGCAACAGCCACCTGGTAACGATGGCAACATTGACCTCCTGGGCGTCGCCCAAACTGCTCGAGAAAACAGCAACCGACTGTGTGTCTCCGTGAACCCAACGTCAACAGGTCGAACGAGCGGATGCACAAAAGGAAACGGGACCGGCCAAATCAACCGAAAAGACGTGGACGACTTCATAGTCAAGCTCGGTCGCAGTGCGTTGCAAATGCCGTGGTTTAAATGCAAACGAAAAGCATGGCAGGGACGGCGTATCAAGTGATTATCACATGGGTGCTATGTCATGACGTTAGGGAGAACAAACCTCCGAAACAAGAGGCTTCAGTCATTTTTAAGCAGTCAACGGCGATGTTTGTCCGAAAGCCGTTAGCAAGACTATGTTTGTTACGCGCGGTGATTGAGATATACAGTTTGGTACCTTGAGCCACATCGAGTTTGGTCCTTCGATATGCTACTTTCTATTACAGGATGAATCATTACAGACGGTTACCTAGGTCACATCGACACAAAGACCACGCAGACACACGGACTTACGGAGAGCGCCCGCGAGTGCCGCGGTCCTCGTGATCGCCGTGTGGAAGCCGAACCAATGTTCCCCAACTGGCATAGTCCACCCTGACATAACGGGGGACCATCTTACCATATCCCGCACAGAAAATATCGGAAGCGTTTTAGCGCCACCGTAGTATCATCACGCCTACCAAACAGCGGCATACCAGGCATCAGCTTCAATATCAGGGATCAGTTGAGCTTTCAAACTGATTGCAAACTGCACAAACTGACCTAGTTAAGAAATAATACTGGAACAGAAAACATACACTCTCAGTCACTCAAGTCATGCCAAAGAAGCTACCCCCGAGCCTTCGCGCACCATTAGTCCAGGGCCTTCCACCCTACCGCCAACTGCTCGACGGAATAAGCCGGCAAGTAACAAATGGATTAGCCCTGTATACATCTTGTACACATCTTAGGGTTTTTGTTCTGCCACTTTGTTGCTTGTGCACACCGACTGATGTCCTAAAACGACTGAGTTCTAGGTTCACCGAGGTCTCCTCGTTTGACAGGGAACAAACTGCCACATGGCAAGAAGGGAAGGCACAAGAATGCGTTGTTAAAGATCGCCGCTGACACGCAGATGCTGGAAGAGGTCTTTTCACCAAGCCCCACACATACATAAAAATATATTTAAGCACTGGCTTACGCTGCACGCATATCTAAATCACAAGGATAAACATGTAGATGGCGGTGTAGATAATCTGAACTTGAAATGGGGATGAAACAGGTTAGATCAAGGCTCTTGCTATCGTTGCCTACTGGTTGCTGGCACATGGCCAGATGTGTCCGAGCTGATTAAGTCCTCGCTTGTGTCATCTTATTACGTAAGCGTCCGCCAGGTATGACACGGCTACATGTCCCTGACAAGTCCTCGCTTGTGTCATCTTATTACGTAAGCGTCCGCCAGGTATGACACGGCTACATGTCCCTGACAAGTCCTCGCTTGTGTCATCTTATTACGTAAGCGTCCGCCAGGTATGACACGGCTACATGTCCCTGACAAGTCCTCGCTTGTGTCATCTTATTACGTAAGCGTCCGCCAGGTATAACACGGCTACACGTCCCTGACAAGTTCTCGCTTGTGTCATCTTATTACGTAAGCGTCCGCCAGGTATAACACGGCTACACGTCCCTGACAAGTCCTCGCTTGTGTCATCTTATTACGTAAGCGTCCGCCAGGTATAACCGGCTACACGTCCCTGACAAGTCCTCGCTTGTGTATCTTATTACGTAAGCGTCCGCCAGGTATAACACGGCTACATGTCCCCTGACAAGTCCTCGCTTGTGTCATCTTATTACGTAAGCGTCCGCATGTAAACACGGCTACACGTCCTGACAGTCCTCGCTTGTGTCATCTTATTACGTAAGCGTCCGCCAGGTATACAACGGCTACACGTCCCTGACAAGTCCTCGCTTGCGTCATCTTATTACGTAAGCGTCCGCCAGGTATAACACGGCTACACGTCCCTGACCATGCCCGCGCC